CCCCCGCATGCGGCGCCTCCTACAGTCGCGGCACTGATGCCCCCGATGTTGGCGCACGCGGCTCCTTCAGTGCCCACGGCGCCCCTGGTGCCCCCGACGTTGGCGCCTGTGGCCCCCGCGGCCCCCTCGGCGCCCCCGGCCGGTCCGATCACCCGCGCCCGTACGGGTGTTTTTCGCCCGAGCTCGCGTTACGCCTCGGATGACTACGTTCATGCGGCGTCCACCTCTGAGCCGTCGCCATTGCCGTCCTCTGTTTGAGCCGCTCTTCGTGACCTCTCTAGATGGCTGCGATGCAAGAGGAGTTTGTCGCCCTGTTGCGTGCTACCTCTTAAGCACTGCGTTGGTTTCCCCAAAGAGGAAGGGATGATGCAGCAAAGTAGCGTAAGTATTTCCCTCAGTTTTTGAGAACCAAGGTATCAATCCAGTAGGAGGCTACGCGCGAGTCCCTCGTACCTGCACAAAACAAATAAATCCTCGCAACCAACGCAAATAGGGGTTGTCAATCCCTATAGGGCCACTTACGAGAGTGAGATCTGATAGATATGATAAATATAATTTTTTTTGGTATTTTTATGATAAAGATGCAAAGTAAAATAAAGGCAAAGTAAATAACAAAGTAGTAGGAGATCAATATGATAAAGATAGAACCAGGGGCCATAGGTTTCACTAGTGGCTTCTCTCGAGAGAATAAGTATTCTACGGTGGGTGAACAAATTACTGTTGAGCAATTAACAGAATTGAGCATAGTTATGAGAATATCTAGGCATGATCATGTATATAGGCATCACGTCCGAGACAAGTAGACCGACTCTTGCCTGCATCTACTACTATTACTCCACTCATCGACCGCTATCCAGCATGCATCTAGAGTATTAAGTTAAAAACAGAGTAACGCCTTAAGCAAGATGACATGATGTAGAGGGATAGACTCATGCAATATGAAGAAAACCCCATCTTGTTATTCTCGATGGCAACAATACAATACGTGCCTTGCTGCCCTTACTGTCACCGGGAAAGGACAACGCAAGATTGAACCCAAAGCTAAGCACTTCTGCCATTGCAAGAAGATCAATCTAGTAGGCCAAACCAAACTGATAATTCGAAGAGACTTGCAAAGATAACCAATCATACATAAAAGAATTCAAAGAAGATTCAAATATTATTCATAGATAGACTTGATCATAAACCCACAATTCATCGGTCTCAACAAACACACCGCAAAAAGAAGATTACATCGAATGGTTCTCCACAAGAGAGGGGGAGAACATTGTATTGAGATCCAAAAAGAGAGAAGAAGCCATCTATCTAATAACTATGGACCCGTAGGTCTGAGGTAAACTACTCACACTTCATCGGAGAGGCTATGGTGTTGATGTAGAAGCCCTCCGTGATTGATGCCCCCTCCGGCGGAGCTCCGGAACAGGCCCCAAGATGGGATCTCGTGGATACAGAAAGTTACGGCGGTGGAATTAGGGTTTTGGCTCTGTATCTGATTGTTTGGAGGTACATGGATATATATAGGAGGAAGGAGTACGTCGGTGGAGCAACAGGGGGCCCACGAGGGTGGAGGGCGCGCCTGCCGGCCTCCTGTTTCGTGCCTTGACGTAGGGTCCAAGTCTTCTGGGTCTTATTTGATGAGAAAATCACATTCCCGAAGGTTTCATTCCGTTTGGAGTCTGTTTGGTATTCCTTTTCTTCGAAACCCTAAAACAGGCAAAAAACAGCAATTCTGGGCTGGGCCTCCGGTTAATAGGTTAGTCCCAAAAATAATATAAAAGTGGATAATAAAGCCCAATAGTTTCCAAAATAGTAGATAATATAGCATGGAGCAATCAAAAGTTATAGATACGTTGGAGACGTATCATTGCGCAACCGTACGTGGCAGCTTGTTCCCCGGCACGCCAACGTGATTACGGGGAAGTGGGTCTTTAAACACAAGCTCCGTCCTGATGGTACCCTTGATCGCTACAAAGCGCGCTGGGTCGTTCGTGGCTTCCGACAGCGTGCTGGCATCGACTTCGTCGACAACTTTGCTCCGGTCGTCAAGCCCGGCACGATACGCACGGTTCTCCACCTTAAGGTCTCCCGTGCTTGGCCGGTGCACCAGATGGATGTCTCCAATGCCTTCCTCCATGGTCACCTCGAGGAGCAGGTCTTTTGCCAGCAGCCCATCGGGTTTGTTGACCCGGCGCTTCCTGACCACGTGTGCCTGCTTTCGCGGTCCTTGTACGGACTCAAGCAGGCTCCGTATGCTTGGTACCAGTGCATTGCGGCGTTTCTCCACCAGCTTGGGTTCCGCTCTACCCGCTCGGACGCCTCGCTCTTCATCTATCATCAGGGCTCTGACACGGTCTACTTGCTGCTCTATGTCGACGACATCATCCTGACGGCATGTACGGCTGGTCTCCTCAGTCGGCTCACGACTCGTCTTCACGCTGAGTTCGCCATCAAGGACTTGGGTCCTTTGCACTACTTCCTCGGTGTCGAGGTGGTGTGCCATCCGGATGGCTTCTTCCTTCATCAGCGGAAGTACGCTCATGAGCTCCTCGAGCGCGCTGGCATGCTTAACTGCAAGCCCGCCGCTACGCCTGTTGATACGAAGGCCAAGCTTTCTACCACGGATGGTTCTCCTGCTTCGGATGCTACTTTCTATCGGTCTATCGTTGGTGCTCTCCAGTACCTCACTCTCACTCGACCGGAGATCCAGTATGCCGTGCAGCAGGTGTGTCTTCATATGCATGCTCCTCGCGACGTTCATTAGGCTGCCGTCAAGCGAATTCTCCGCTATATCTGTGGCACTATGGATCTTGGCGTCACGCTTCACGCCTCCGCCGACACCGCCCTCACCGCCTACTCCGATGCAGACTGGGTGGGCTGCCCTGACACTCGTCGCTCCACTTCGGGCTATTGTGTCTACCTTGGACCCTCACTCATCGCGTGGTCGTCCAAGCGGCAACCTACGGTCTCTCGTTCCAGTGCTGAGGCTGAGTATCGTGCAGTGGCAAACCACGTTGCCGAGTGTTCGTGGCTTTGCCAGCTACTTCAGGAGCTCTCTTGCCCTGTTGACCATGCCACAGTGGTATACTGCAACAATGTCTCGGCGGTCTACCTCTCCGCTAACCCGGTGTATCATCGACGGACCAAGCATATTGAGTTGGATATTCATTTTGTTCGGGAACAGGTGGCCCTTGGCCATATTCATGTTTTACACGTCCCTACTTCCCAATAATTTGCAGATATCATGACTAAGGGCTTGCCTACGACGTCATTTGAGGAGTTCCGGTCCAGTCTTTGCGTCAGTCGCGGTGCCGCTTCGACTGCGGGGGGTGTTGAGTATATGTGTTATGTGCATATTGTGTATCGGGCCCGCCTCCTAGTTTCTTGTATAGTTGAGGTCTGTGGCCCACTTTTGTACATCATATATACGTGCCTATGCACGAGAGCAATACATCGTGCAATCATAATCTCATACAATGCCAACTATTCGAACCTCGGAATGCATCTTTGTTTTTACTTAATCCCTCATTGTAGCTCTTGTACTTTTGGCAAGTTTTGCTTCCATGGTTACTTCCTTCAACCATAGTTTAAAATTGGCAACTAAATTGAAAATCATTTATTTAACACTCCCTCCCAATACATAATGATTGGTCACTCATCATGGGTGACATGGTTTCCATAGGAAGCGAGGCGATCACTTGCTCCCTTTGCTCACCGGAGGGGGTTGACACGCGCGACCATCGGACGAGGCCTGGATACTATAACGTCGGCATGAGAAAACTAGGTCTTCCACATCGGAACCGAGAACCTCAACTGGAAGCTATATTCTTCATGGTCTATATATAGGGCTACATGGTAGTATCATATCTGCTAGACTTGAGAAGGAAGGGCTCTACATGGGTCACAGCTGCCGCCAAGTGGTGACTAGCAAGGTGGTGGGAGGGAGAGGAGGGGACACACACGAAGGGTCTCACGGGAGTAGGGAAGTTCATTTCTTTCACAAATAAAGTATAAACGGAGATACTCATATACACCCACATCCTTTCCCTATGAGCCTTTAGAGTGACTGAGCCAGTATATCTTCAGATTCACGAAATCACCACAAGCCTCACATAGTCGACGTACGGGAATGTAGTCTCGTACGGAACGAACATCCTCAAAAAAGTTGAAATAAATCCATGAAAGAAAACAAGGAACTTGAACCTGAATGGGCTGGTCCCATCACAAGAAGTGAACCATGTGAGAGCCACAGTCAGTTCACAAGAGTAGGAAATCTGAGGCAATTCCTTTAGCGGTTGCCTTTTTGTTTGCACAGCCAAGTCTGGCGTTGACAATTTTCTACCCTTCCACGGTTGTTGAGAAAAATCTTATCTTGTAAATATACTTTCTGTAAAAATTTGTGTAATAGCATAGTTTTCTATGGTATTTTATTTATATAATAAGCTCTGTAGGATTCTCCCTAGAAAAAAAATGGAAAAGTGTTGTAGGGTTCCCTCCCGGCCGTTACCATGGTTTCTTTGTTGAAAAATGAGATACTAAATGCATGAAAAAGCTCACCAACTAAACTCCTCAATGCATAGGACCATATGTGCTTAGCTTCTTGTTCGGCAATCAAACTCTCTCATTAGTGTTTTGCATAGATCCGCGTGCTTGGCATCATTTCTGCTGGGTCATGAAAGTGCTCTTTCTCCTTAATTGTTTTGTCACATCAGATTGTCCTATTCTTATACACCACGAAGCATTGAGAAGGGTTAGTTTGCTCTTTCGAGTTTCTTTTTTCCTTTCCAGAACCGCAAAGACCAGCTATAGCTGTAACACACGGTTTTAAATGGTTTTTAAGACTCAGTAAGCCAACAGGAACCGTTGAATTACCAATCGGTTTCACCCATAGTTTTTATGCTCACTAACTTTTATTTTGGTGGTTTCAGAGTTCGCCTCCGTATAAATGCCAACAGAGTATGCGTGCTCATGAAAATCAGATTTGCAGGAGAAGAACGAGAGCGATGACCACGATCACAGTTCCTCAAGTTGTCCCTTCTCCGGTTGAAGATGCTGAGGCGCTCATGAAGGCCTTCCAAGGTTATATTATCCCCGGAATTTACCTCGCTGTTTCGGTTCATCGATTTATTCTAGTGCATAGGTCCTGAATCTTGGTCATAACCTCGCAATATGTGTAGTGATTTTTGCAACATTTTTGTGGTTCAGGATGGGGCACCGACGAGCAGGCAGTGATCTACATACTAGCTCACCGGGACGCGGCCCAGAGGAAGCTGATCCGGCAGGCGTACGAAGAGAAGTACAACGAGCTCCTCACCGACCGGCTCCAGTCTGAACTTTCCGGCGATCTTCAGGTGACCACACATTTTCAGAATCTCCCTTTCTTCTTCTCTGAATGAACCAGCGAGTGATCTTGGTGACTACAGACAGCGATGGGCTACTGGGTACTCGACCCCACGGAGAGGCAGGCCGTGATCGCCAACGCCGCCACGAAGTGCATCGACGAGGAGTACCCCGTGATCGTGGAGATCGCGTGCGCCAACTCGCCCGCCGAGCTCCTGGAAGTGAAGCAGGCCTACCACGCCATCTACAAGCGCTCGCTGGAGGAAGACGTCGCCGCTGGTGCCACGGGAAACCTCCGTAACGTATGATATCTGGTTGTCACTAGAGCACGCGACAAGGGAAAGCTCTGTTCCCCAAACTAATGGCGATCCCTGTCCCTGCTGTGTTCAGCTCTTGGTCGCCCTGGTGAGCACCTACAGGTACGACGGCGACGAGGTGAACGGCGGGCTGGCGAGATCGGAGGCGAAGATCATTCAAGCGGACGTGAAGAACGGCGTCACGGCGGACCACGGGGAGCTCATTAGGGTCCTGGGCACCAGGAGCAGAGCCCAGCTCGGCGCCACGTTCAACTGCTTCAGAGATGAGCACGGCACCACCGTCACCAAGGTCTGGCCACCGCCCATACATAACCAAAAATCTGCTAAATTTCTTCAGGCTTTGGATCAATTTATTAGGCGATGATGTGGTCGATATATAATGCCATCTGTATCATCCATCGGCTAGGCCCTGCTGCATGGGTCCGATCCGACGGGCTACGCGCGCGTGCTGCGGACCGCGGCGAGGTGCATCGCCGACACGGACAAGTACTTCGCCAAGGTCCTGAGGAACGCGATGCACAAGTCGGGGACCGACGAGGAGAGCCTGCTCCGGGTGGTGGTGATGCACGCGGAGAAGGACCTCAGGGCCATCAAAGACGAGTTCCACAGGAGGGCGTCGGTTGCCTTGGAGCAAGCCATCGCCAAGGAAACCTCCGGTGACTTCAAGACCTTCATCATGGCTCTTGTTGGGACTAGCCAATAAACCATATGCATCCAAGAATAAGATCGCTGCTTTTTACTGTCTTCCGTGTTGCAAGACTTCAAGTATCTCAATTAATGAATAATGTCTAGGTAACTAGATATAATAGCTCCTGTGTTGCTGCGGAAATTGGTTGTAATAAATTTTAATACTTTGTTTGTGTGAAAGAAGAATATTTGGATTAACAATATGAAAAATAAAACTGATAATTCATATGATTATTGAATTTTATTATCGTCGTATATCTGTATTTTCAAAAATATAATCATATACTCCTGAACAGCTGAGATTTTTTTCTAATAAATTTTTGTCACTCATAAGGTGCCACCAATCACACCAGGGTAGCATCCTCCCCGCTCACATTTTTCTTCGATAAAGAGCGCTCTTATTGACTCATATCGTAGCATCGAGGGATACAATCATCATGAGTGCACACCCAACCTCTGCATAATTAGGATACACACAGCCAACACAAACGCATATACAGAAAAGATCGCGCCGGCAAGGAGCAATGCCCATGAATGAAAGAAAACCGATGAAAACAATGATAGTCGCGACCATCGGCACCAACCATATCATGACAACACAAGACTTACAAGAAAATGTTCTCCAAAAACGACGCCTCCAGAAAGGGAACGACGCGGCCATCGCTAGATCCAACTATCGAAGGTCAGATCGTGGGTTTTCACCCTGAAGATCAAGCCTGAGCAAACTTCAAGAAATGACTTTGCTAAGGTAACGACGCATAGAACGCCGACATTGCCAGGTATAACACACTAGAGTGACACATAGGATTTTCACCCTGAAACTTGAGACTGGGTACTCAGAGAAGCACCACCCAATCAAAGTCATGTGTTGTTTCCTCCACTTGCCACAATCCCCACAGTTGCATATGCGCAAGAGGCACTAGTAACTTCACGACGAAGTTTTGATAGAGATGAAGGACATTGCCGCCGCTGAAATTCCAAGTTCGGGACGCTCCGGAGGTGTCACACTGTCCACACAAAGTGGCATTCTGTGGCTGATCTGCATTAGACGACATAACCACGCACAACCGCTAGCCCTGTCGTACTCGCCTGTTGAAGCAAATCATACCAAAAGGGAAGGACCTGACCGTTGACAGGCATTGCCCAGAGAGACACAGATGACGAACCATCTGATGCGAGAATTTCCGCACCGGTCTGATCACCGGCCAACATCGCCCTTGACGTCGGATTGAATGGGCGACGCCCTACAGTAACCGCCATCTAGTAGATGCCGCAACCATGGATCAATCGTTGGGCGGTCATCCTCGTCCGGCACTGCCAAACACGCGCAACCAAATTCGTTACGTCTGGACACGAACATAGGCAGCGCTTCGACAGTGTGGGGATGGCGCTAAGTTGGGTCTTGGTGGCAATGCCATCAAGGATGAAGATCATAGGTCGTTTCCCAAGTAGAAACAGGCGCAACCGCTACATTTTCCTCCTTCATGGCGTCCACCTTCGCTGCGCTCTCTTCCAAATCTATAGGAATGAAGCCCCGCCGTCGTCGTCAGCCGCACAGGCAAGCTCGATGGCGTCGATTGACGGCGCTGAGGGGAGGTTGCACGGCGCGGGCTCACGGAAGAAGTGGATCGAGGACCGCCCAAGTCTAAAAATTTGGGAGAGAATTTTACTTCCCGGCCTCTGCACCAACTAGCGGTGCACACAACCTTTTTAGTATGAGTACCAAGATTTTTATCTTGAAGTGTAGTTTCACCACACGTCAGGCTTGGTCCACAATGGTAACTTTTCAAAATCAACCGCTTCAATCCTCGTGCTTGTCTCTTAAGAAATTTGAAATGAACGCAATGCTATACGCTTGCAGAACACCTCCACAACGCCTAGCACCGTCTTTCTCCAACATCAAGAAAGAAGAGACACTCTGGATTGAAGGAGGGGCATGTTATGCTCACAACAGAATTCTCCCTCTCAATTGGGGTTGGTACAAATTGGGGAAGGAGGGGGGAGGAAAGATACTAGGGGAACAAAGTGGTTGGGTTATCCTTCTGTTGCTTGACGCCTCTGTCTTCCTCCTCTCGCTTCATATAGCTCGCTCCCTTGCCGTGCTCTGCTTCTCCTTCTCTTGGGCTTCGAATTCTCTTGCCAGCCTTCGGTTGCGTCTTGTCGCTTTGGGCCGTCGCCCTGGGCCGGCCCATGACATGACATTCCCCACCCCTTGAGCAGCGACTTGCCCCCAAGTTGCCAGGACAGGGAAACGACGTTCCAGCCTGAACGCGTCTTCCCAGGTGTCGTGTGTGTCTGGCCTGCCTGCCCAACGTACCTTGACGCGCGGTGTGGTCTTGCCGCCGATTGGTACCAACTTGGTCTACAGAATGATCTCGGGAGTGAGCAGTTGCAGGTCCTTTGGAGGTGGAGTGTTGTCCTCGACGATGGCCTCAATATTGGGTGGCAGACATTTCTTCAATTGCGACACATGGATAACGTCGTGGATCTTGGACTGTGGCGGCAGCTCCAGGCGATAGGAGACCGCCCCAATCTTTTGCAGCACTGTATAGGGACCATAGTACTTAAGAGCGAGTTTGTGGTTGCGCCTTGCTGCCAGGGAGTTCTGCAATTAAGGTTGGACTTTCAGATACACTTTGTCGCCCACTGCAAATGATCTCTCGCTGCGATGCTTGTCCGCTTGGCGTTTCATCCTCTACTGCGCTCGGAGCAGATGTTGGCGCAGCAGCTCGAGCGTGGATGCCCTCTCACTTGCTAATTCCGCCACCTTGGGGTTGGTTGCTGGCGCCTCCAATGCAAATGGTCTAGGGGAATACACATATAAGGCTTCGAATGGGGAGCGACCCATTGCTGTATGGAAGGATGTATTGTACCAATGCTCCGCTAAGGGCAGTCACCGCACCCAACGAACCGGTGTGTCATGAGCAAAGCACCGCAGAAATGCTTCCATGCATTGGTTCAATTTTTCCGTTTGTCCGTTGGTCTCCGGATGCCGTGCTGAGCTCATATTCAGAATTGTATCCGAGAGACGGAAGAGTTCTTGCCAAAACAAACTGGTAAATACCAGATCACGATCAGAGATGATACAGAAAGGCATACCGTGCAGACGATAAACCTGATCGAAGAAGACTTGCGCCACTTGTTGGGCCGTATACGGATGCTTGAGGGGAATGAAGTGGCCATATTTTGTTAACTTGTCGATAACCACCAGGACGACGTCCATCCCTTGCGAGCGAGGCAGCCCTTCCACAAAATCCTAGCTCAAGGTATGCCAGGGTGGGGTGGAATGTCGTGGGGTTGCAGGAGCCCTGGCTGGCGACAGTGCTCAACCTTAGCACGCTGGCAAACTTCACAGTGCCGCACATAATCAGTGGCCGTTTTCTTCAGGCTGGGCCACGCAAATAAGCGTCTGATGCGTTGATACGTTGCTAGTATACCTGAGTGCCCTCCCACCGTGCTATCATGCATGATTTTGATGATATGTTGTTGGGCCAGCTTGTTTGTTCCAACCCACACTCATCCCTTGTAACGGAGAACACCTTGCGATAGGGTGAATCCTTGGCTGTTGTCAGAAGAGATGGCCAATTCAGTTAATAGTTTTGTGGCTTGCGAGTCCTCTACATAACACTGGACCAATTGATCCAACCAAACAGGTACTGGAGCAGAGATTGCCAAGAACAGCTCCAACTAGGGACGACGAGATAATGAGTCAGCCGCTGCATTATGTACTCCTTTCTTGTACTGGATGGTGTAATCTAGTCCCATCAGCTTCACAAACGCTTTATGTTGAATGCTCGTGCTCAATCGTTGCTCAGATAAGTGCCGCAATGCCTGGTGATCAGTGTGGATGATGAAGCGTTGATGTTGCAGATACGGGCGCCACTTTTCCACTGCCATCAATAATGCCAAGCATTCTTTTTCATATGTACTAAGAGCCTGATTTTTGGGGCAGAGTGCCTTACTCAGATATGCTAATGGGTGACCTTGTTGCATCAGGACTGCGCCTACTCCATCCTTGCAAGTGTCTGTCTCAAGGACAAATGTCTTGGAGAAATCTGGAACTGCTAGCACAGGTGCGCTGATCATATTGCTTGTTTCAACAGGGTAAATGCCTTGTCCGCCTGCGGTGTCCATTGGAAGATGAGCCCCTTCTTTAATAGTTCTGTTAGAGGGCGACTGATGATCCCATAATTCTGAATAAATTTGCGGTAGTACCCTGTGAGCCCGAGGAATCCTCGCAATTGCTTCAAGTTGTTGGGCACTGGCCAGCTTGTTTGTTCCAACCCACACTCATCCCTTGTAACGGAGAACACCTTGCGATAGGGTGAATCCTTGGCTGTTGTCAGAAGAGATGGCCAATTCAGTTAATAGTTTTGTGGCTTGCGAGTCCTCTACATAACACTGGACCAATTGATCCAACCAAACAGGTACTGGAGCAGAGATTGCCAAGAACAGCTCCAACTAGGGACGACGAGATAATGAGTCAGCCGCTGCATTATGTACTCCTTTCTTGTACTGGATGGTGTAATCTAGTCCCATCAGCTTCACAAACGCTTTATGTTGAATGCTCGTGCTCAATCGTTGCTCAGATAAGTGCCGCAATGCCTGGTGATCAGTGTGGATGATGAAGCGTTGATGTTGCAGATACGGGCGCCACTTTTCCACTGCCATCAATAATGCCAAGCATTCTTTTTCATATGTACTAAGAGCCTGATTTTTGGGGCAGAGTGCCTTACTCAGATATGCTAATGGGTGACCTTGTTGCATCAGGACTGCGCCTACTCCATCCTTGCAAGTGTCTGTCTCAAGGACAAATGTCTTGGAGAAATCTGGAACTGCTAGCACAGGTGCGCTGATCATATTGCTTGTTTCAACAGGGTAAATGCCTTGTCCGCCTGCGGTGTCCATTGGAAGATGAGCCCCTTCTTTAATAGTTCTGTTAGAGGGCGACTGATGATCCCATAATTCTGAATAAATTTGCGGTAGTACCCTGTGAGCCCGAGGAATCCTCGCAAT